TTTTTTTTTTATTTCGTAGAGTTTTCTAATCTTTATGAAATAAAGAAGTTTATTCGAATCGGATCATTTGTTGGTTAAAAAAAAAGTTAAATTTTATTCGTAAAACCCTGATGACCATCATTACAGCAAAGACTCCATTTGGATGAAATAAAGAAACCTAAAAGTTATGAATGACTATACATCCATATGCTGTAGAAGGACCGAGCCAAATGATCGACGTTGAGGCGTTCCGATTGAATCAGCAAGTCTCACGATTCTTTGTTCTGCATTTTTTGCAAGAGGATTATTCTAATTTCCGAATCTTCTGGCCTGGATGAAAAATTAAATATATTTTTAATAAATTCGAATAAATTCATAATTTTTCGCAAACTATCATACGAATATTCTTAACAAATGACTACGATTAGGGATGTTTTAAATTATGTGATGACTATCGTCTGATTAAGTATTTATTGCTAATAATAGTATGGATGTCAAATTGGGTCTATCAATCTGGTCTAAAATCAGATTGATCCGGTCTAGTATTATGAAAATGGCATTTTTGAATCATCGGTCTTTTGGTCCAGATCGGACCAATTTAACATCCCTATATAGTGATACTATGCATCGCATAATTTGGAAAATCCCAGATATGATTTCTTTTAATGAAAATTTGAGTGATTTATTCCAAAACGGAATTTTGGAGATTCCAACGGATACGGCACACATGCATGGTTAAAGTGACTATAATATGTGTTATTGCTTATTATAACTTACATTATCATTACCACAATTTTTTTTTGACAGTTGTGGTGTTTGCTAAATGCAATTTTAACCAGTAGATACTAAGTTTCAATTTGCATTTGTATATCATAAATAATAATAAGCAATAATTAGCAATAATACATAAGAATAGGTAAGATGGTAAAATAAGTAAATATTACTTCAATCTGGCATTATCCTGACGATTTCGTATGATTATGTATTTTAAATTTTTGCGAGATAAATTTCCGCGCGGTGATTACGAAACACGTATTTTTTCCGTATATACTGTAATTCCATAGTTATATGATTCTAGTCTATATTTGAATCCACATAACAAAATCAATTCCTATGCAGGTAAGATGTCAAAAACTGACCCAATAGCTTCTTCATGACAAGCTCTACAAAAGGTATTAGTCAAATTTTTAATTTTACTGCGAAATTCTTATATAAATCAATAACAATATTAACTTTCAAATCGGTATACTAGAGGTTTTTTAAAAAAAGCTGACTGATAAATTTATAGAACTTACATGACTCTACAAAGTTACCAAGTTTTTTTAAAACCTCTTACATAAAAGGGGTCACTTAAAGCTGGCACATCATGAGATTTTCCGTTGCGCACGACCAATCAAAATCGCGAATTTCTGTTTACACGACACAGCAAAAAATGCGAAAGGAATGTTTAAAATCTATTTTGATGTATTAAGAAAAATGCCAGGGGGACGAATATTTACATATAGGAGTATTCTAACCTTAACATTAATAATTTTCTGTTTTTAATTAAATTTCGTGATTTACCTGGCTTTAACGTCTGCCATAAAACTGTAAAAGTAAACGATTTGAAAAATTGAAACAAATCGCGTGATTAGGTATAGAATACCTGACCTTTTCCCGTGGATCTCATTTCCCAGGCAACTGGAGTTAGTGTTGGTTAGAATTAAAAGGGAAGTAATCGTCGTAAAAGAGGTGAATCCAACATTTTCGCATACCGATTTCTTTGGGCCTATCGAAATGAAAAAACGGCGAGTTTCATTTAATACGTAACTCATAAATCGAACAAAGTTGACCAAAGACCTAAGTCATATCGATAAATATCGTGATCGATTTGTGACACGCATTGAAACTTTGCTCCGGGACTAATGAATCTAAGGAAATAGCTAATAAATGAATACTGTCAAGGAAAAACCAAGTATAAAATTAAAATTTTATTGTACTGGACTTAAAACCAGAAACTTAAACGGGTTACGATCAGCATTCTAATCTTTTTGATAATACTCATTTTTTTAAATTCTAGCCTTTCGACAGAATTTTAATTTTTTTTTTTTTTTTGAACGTACCTACATAATAATTGTGTGCCAAGCTGCCAAAACACTGATCGTATAGTGATTAATTAAATAAATAATGATTTTTCAGATGTTCAATAGGTGAAAATTTAAATTTGTACTTTCAGATTTCCCCTTAAATTGGAACATTATAGCAATAAGTGAGAGCAATAGAATTCGTGAATTTTATAGAAAACTTTTCTTAAAACAAGCCATCAAAAATTCCATGACTACCATCTACCTTAACAAGCCTATCAACAAGACGGAAATTCCTCCGGCCAAACCCATAATCGAATGCTTTTCATTAACCTTTTATTTAGTCAGAACTCAAATTGCGATTATAACGTATCATATGAAAAAAATTCAAACAGCATATCATCAGTAATGATGTAACCTTACCAAGGTAAGTCAAAGAATATAAACGATGAAAATAAATGTTCAAACCAAATCAGTCCACGCCTCCCAAGAAAGCCACCACATGCGAAATACCCAGTATTCTACATTCTCATAATAATTTTTAATATAAAAAGATGGGAGTATTAATTTGCCTCAATAACATCCCTATACGCATTATTGGATTTTTTTTTAATAAAAAAAAACAGAACTATTGATTTGTACCTACCCAGATTTCCTACAAATATCACACAAAAGTCTAAATCAAGAGATATTACAGCGGTACTTGTAAATTAGGATTTTTGAATAATTAATTTTGATATATATATATATGAATTTTCTTAGTAACATCATCAACAGCGACGTTCACAATGCAACCTATTCACTGGATTCCATAAAAATAATAAGCAAATTCCGTAACTCCCCTAAGGGTGTTTCTTACAAAGTGGATATGGACTGAAAATATTATCTAAGATGACGAACAGTGCAAAAATTATTCGATTCTGATTATTAGTCAAAAGTTATTTTTATTAGATTGATGAATCTTTGCTTAAGAAATGTTTTAGGCAATGAATGTGTAAGATCCATTGATTAAACTTGAGTGATTTTTGGCACCATTTAATTCTTCTCAAGAGACGAATTGAAAGATACAAAATTGTCAATTCTAATCAAAAGATTACGCGCTATTTTCATTCATTTCGAAACATTTTTTAAATTAAGATTAATAACCCCTAATTTAGATAAATAATCGAAATCGAAAAATATGTCATTCGATTCGTCTCAATGAATCGAATAAATAATAAAAAGTGCACGATTCTTATGATTCTTATTGATAAATCGCTTTCTATAAATAAGAATTATAGTGTTTTAAATTAATTTTGAAGATTATAAAATGGAATTACAGAAATATTATTGTTAAATTAAATATGTATAAATAATTACCTTTTTTCATATGCTCAACATTTAGCGTTATTTACTAAAAATTCGATATAAACGATCGTATACATTATGCAAGATTTGTCGTACGGATGATTGTGCTATACGAATCAAGCTTTTAAATTTCTATTTCAGCAGAGGTGACGGGTCACGAATTAACCCAAGATAATGGAAAATTCAAATAATCAGATATAAAAAAAAAAAATTTACCAGATCTACGGGAAACTATTCAACATTCGGTATTATGCAATCTGCTATTTGACCTAAATTATCAAAAATCACGCAGTGTTTATCACTGTTTTAGACAGGTGTTGCCAAATATTATTATTATTGGTTCAGGTACATCAAAAATCCCGAATTTTATACCCGTATTTTCATAAAATTATGCCCTTTGATAATCCCACAGTCACTATATCAAGATCACGGGAAATTAATCAATTCCACCTAATCAATGACCCAGGATATTATTGCAATTGCCTCCTTAAAAAGTAGGTTTCCTTGTTTCATTATGTTGATGCTTAAAATAATGTTCACCTGATATACGTAATGTTTATATTAAATAACGATCATGAAAGTTATTTTGAATTCAAAATGACGCACATAGACGTACCCGAAGTAACATACAGAAGGACGTTATTTGGCAAAATACAGTAAATTGATTTAGAAAATTGAATTCTAGATCTCAAACGGAGTCGCACACATCTATTGGATCAGTAAAAATTGAATTTATCAATAATTATTTAATTTTCAAATAAAAAAAAAAAAAAAAAAATACACCAATCACATACCAAATCGACTATTATTACTTATAAACCGTATCTATATTATTCTTCAATATTATTTCCTTGGGGTAACTTCTTATGAAGAAATAAATTAAAATTTTACATCGTGACAGTAGCGTGAATCAAAAGAAGCTTAATGCACTGAATTTATGACATATAGAAAGTAGTTGAAATCCAAAAAAACATGCATTTATGTTAAATCCATGATTTCTTTAAAAACGAAAGAGATAAGATGAACTTATTAAACGAAATGCAAACGCATAAAGTAGGATAATTTTCGATAGCTAGCGTTAATTTTTTTACAAGCAAGTTAACATCGGTAATTTAACATCGGGATATTAACCAACTATATGGATTTACAAAAAAGGGCCTAAAGGCTAATGTTATTATTATTTTTTTAATCATTTTAATTTTGGTACTAAAAATAAAAAACTGTGCTAGCCAAAGACTCTTAAAAATTTCTCTTACTATCGCTATAAAAAAAAAAAACAACATTTCGTCATTATAACATAAATCTGACCCACGTGCCAGGGCTAAAATACTTATTAATGTTAATCCCTATTAATGTTTTTTCACTATAATTAGTATCTCGTACCACTTATTTGGCTCATTTAAGGGAACATTAAAGCCATATATTCATGTGACCGGCAATTCCTAATTAAACTAGGGCCCAGGTCGGTTTGAGACTAGGTAAAATCACTGCAAATATTTTTACTACTCCCAAATATGGTTTTTTGTTCGCTTATTCTCACATACTTTTTCTCCAGCTGATCAAAATTCACTATTATGATTGGCCAATTTACATAGGCATCCTTATCTAGCTATGCCGGTAGCACATAGCACCTATTTACCGGTAGCGGGTAATCGTCGCCAGGATATGCTTCGCTGCGGTTCGTGCAACGTATACCGAGGCGTTATTTGAATATTTCGCTACCCTGGCGTAGCTTTTGCTGGTTTGTCACGTGATGCATCGGTGGTACGTCGAACATTCCCAAAAATTAATAACAGTACGTAATATACCTTTAAACAGTCGTCGGTTAGTTATGGCGAATCAAATAACAGGCTTTTCATTTTTTTATTTGCGAGTGTGGACGTAAAGGGATTAGCGAATAATTAGAACGTACTTTATTATTAGTAGTTATTCTACCCAAACCTGTTACTTGAATTACACATTATTTGGGTTTGGGAATTGGGATTTCTAAATAGTTTAGACATAAAACCCAAATCCAATAGTATCAACCTTAATATATACTATATAATTAAATTTATTAGATTTTAATCAAACCTGTTATTTGAATTACGAAATTAATACATAATTTGGGTCTGTGAATTGTTCTACATATTTTTAAAATATGCTCTAAACCTCGTTTTTGTTTATAAAAATTTGGGATTAGTGCTCAACAGTATTGATTAATTTAAAAGTCAGATCGTCACATATATTTGAGTGTAAGACAAAAAATTGGCTATAACAATAATAGGTTTCAACGTTAAAATGCGGAAATCTTTTTTAATCGAAATTGAAGACGTATTTATTTTGAAGGTAATCTGATCCTATTTTTAATTTGAACGAAAGCTTTATTTTTATTTTATTTTTTTTTACGATGATAAAAATTTTCTGGTTTCATGAAATGGGAGCCTCTGATTTTAAAGTTTTAAAACAAATAATATTTTTCAAACATTCATTTAATTTTTTAAAATGCGCCATTTATTTATTAACTTTAAAACCCCAATGTTTGACATTTTGCGAAGCATAGTAAATACTTTTGGGATACTACCTAATCCCAAACTAATAGGTTTGGGTAGAATCACTAATTGTGAGCAATTAATATCATAAAACTTGAATTATTTAATAAGTCCGGAAGTCGATTCAGCTTTAGTTGAATTCGAGCTCATATACAGTCGGCCTCCTCTACAATCACCTATACAATCGCACCTTCTTTATGAGCACCATTTTTTGAAAAATTAATGGCAATATATTTATTAAAAAAAACTTTATATAATTACATTATTATTAAAATTTTATAATCACCTCTTTTTTATGTAAACAGACGCGTGATTATAGAGGAGGACGACTGTACTAATTCCAGTTTCAAAAACTGGACTGTTCCATTAAAAAAATCCGGTTCTATCATGGTCCGGTTTTTACATGATCAAAATCAGTGTTGTAATAAGACAATTTTGAATAATTTTAAAATTAAATTTACTTAAAATTTTATTAAATAATATATTTAATTTTTTTAAAAAAATGAGTTTAGCATCTAAAAAAATATATAATTATTTACTTTTTAAATGGTTTGAACAATTTTAAACACTTGAATAATTACATAATTTGGGCATGTTTCATGTACAATACTAATTAAAATAACAAAATTTTATTAGATATATAGTTAGTTTTAATTGATAGATAAGTATATAGTATAAAGAATATAGTTTTACTAAACTAAACAATATAATCTAATAATAATCTAGTAGAACAATTTAGCAACTAATATTATATATAATATATTCACTTATTCTTTATATTTAATTTATATATTGCATGTTTAGAATATATTATTTTATATTTTATATAAAATACTATATGTAGCTTATAATTATATTTTAATTAGTAAAAAACTATTATTATTATATTATACAAAATAAAAAATAATATTTTTATTCCTTGCTATAGACCTAATATATCTTTATTTATATAAGCTATATAAAAAATCTTGTTAGTAAAATTAAATCTTTGTATAAATTTTTTTTTTAATGTTAAAGATGAGATCTTGCTCTTATCTTTATTAGATTTATAAAAACTTTTTACATAGTTGAAAAAAGTTTTAACTCTTAAATCTAAAACTAATAAAAAAAAACTCAGACATATATATCTAAGTAAATCTAAATATTTATCTGTGGCCTAAACCTAATCTTTGTATAAATTATAGCTATAAATAAATAATTAATACTACAGTTATCCTCCCTTATAATCACATAGTTGGGTATTACCAATTAGGTGATTATAAAGAAGTGTGACTTTATAAAAGTTACCTCTATATATATAAACACACATTATATTAAAAATAATTAATATGCTTTAATAAAAGTAAATATATAATATATATATTATATAATTATAGTTTTTTATTTTTTATATATATAGCCAGAGTGCTTATGAATTTCAAATTGTATGATATATACTATTGTAATAGCAGTGCTTGGTATTAATTATCTATAATAAACTTTGGCACAATACTTATATCATAATATATAATACAAACTTTAGAGACTAATTTAGCAAAACTAAAGTTTGGAATCAGATTTATTTTTCATATATGAAAAATAAATCTAGTTCCAATCTTAAGTACAGCAATTATTGTATAACCACCATCTTATATAGTAAATAAAAACATAATATATATATATATATTGTATTTAATTTAGAAAGCTAAAATCATTGCTAAATTATAAAAGCTCTTAATCAAGGCATAAGAATATTTAGTCCAAGATTTGTATATTAGTAAATTTATAAAAACTATTTAATTAATAGAATTCTTATCTCTTATTTTTCTCTATATATATTTGTATTTACAATATTTAAATATTAACTATGTTAATTATTATCACAGCTGATGCTAAAAATAGCTGATGCTAAAATTTTGAGGTCTTTGTTTAGAACTATAAAACCTACTAAAACCCATCTATATACTTTAATTAATAAATTCTGACTCTAAACTCTATTCAAACTATTATATAAAGACTAAAAAAATGTACCTCAAAAAAATTGTAAAAATTTAATAATAAAATAATCAAAATTTCAGCATCAGCCATTTTCAATATCAGCTTCAACAATTATTTTTTGTGTCAAGGTTTTAACTAGTGATATTAACCATTTAGGATGTTCCAAACCATGTGATAAATAATATTACACAGTTTTGACAATAATAGTAAATACCTAATGTGATATAAAAAAATGGTATTAAATTATAGTCATAACATATACTAAATAACTGATCAAGTCCAATCAAGTATTGTAAAATGTTTTTTTTATATATTTCATAGTTCCTCTTGTTAGTTCAAATTGTGCCATTTAACATGGTAAATTTTTTAAATTTTACAAAGATAAGTTAAATTTTCATTGTTTTCAAGCTGCATTAATATGTGATAAATATATTTTTGCTTGTATTTGGATTTAAAACTTTTGATAATACCCACATTTATAGGTTAAAGATGAGTAGTGGTATTTGGAGATAAAAATTTAAGTTTAATATTAGTTAATCATATATTTGAATAATCAGAATATTACATAGTTGATTATAACTACTACCATAATGGCTTTACTTCTGTTAGTACTATATTTATCATAGTTATCATGATTACTATAACTAGTACTTGCACCCTAATTGGCTTTTGTTAATCTTGGCTAACCTCAACCTCAACAATTTTTGTATAAAACAGTTGTCACTTTAGATTCTGAATTATTAAATGTTTCTTTATTTAAATCAGAATTTGATTCAATTAGTTTATTTAATTCACAAGTATTAGGTTATAAAAATGTGATAAAATATTATCTACTAATAACAAGACTTGATAATTCTGAATATGGAACCTCTGATTCAAATTTATTAACCATTCAGAAAATACATTATTTTGTATCCATGCCTGTGAATTTGCATAGTAAAGAACAAGTAAGCAATTATAATTAACATTAAAAAGTACATGAAGAGAAATTGAAGACCCAATTACTAATAGTTTAATTTTTCTGTTCTTGTTGTATTGCATGCTAACATAATAGTAATCCATAAACAATTCTAATTATCATATAAAAATTAAATATTTAAAATGTAAATTAAATCATTATATCTAATTTTTCTAATAGTCACTTTATATTAACTTATCAAATTATAGTATTATTTTTTATATTTTTTTATATCCAATGAAATTACTGACACCTTCCCTCTTACAAGAATATTTTGTATTATATTAAACAATAGAAATATGCTAACTTATAATTACTAGCCTTTTTAAATCTAGGTCTTGATTAAAATGCAAGCATTTGGTCAAATACTATACAAACAAAGAGTACTGTTTTATCTGTATTGAACACATTATCTAACATATATTTTTTAATCAATTTACACAATTTTTCTCTATATTCTGGAAGTGAAAACAGCAGCGCACTATTGACTTCTTTATATAATCAAATATTTCTAAGATTATTGTACTGTTTAAATTTATGAATCTATCTATTTGAAAATTTAAAGCATCATTGCCTAGGTTCAAAGCTTTTGCAAAATCTGCTATATTTTCTTTAATCATTAATTCAGTTAGAAATATTTCACTATTAGTAACTTGTTTAACTCAGATTTTCATTAACTAATCCAATAGTAGATATTTCACTTGTTTATATCAAAATATTGTAGAATTTAATTGGTCTTCAGTAACCATTAACCATTTTGACTTATTTTTTAATATTTTAGAAATATAGTTTGATCTAATTTTAAATTGAGATCTTGAGAATTAAAATAGTTTGCAATATCTATTTGTCTTTGATTAAGTTTATTTTAACTATATTCATATATTTCTTTTTTTAAATATTCACTAATAGCCATTTTTTGTCTTTTTTGTAGTAAATTTTTGGATAACAGAATATTCATCTAAATATTATCTAAAGAATTTATGAAGCTAATGGTTCCTTTTATATTTAAATACTTACAGTATATTATATATGAATTCTACAGATTTTTATAAATAGCAACTAAAAATTATAAACTTCCTCTATTTGAATAACACCAAGTAAAATTGAAGTTGAAAATTTTAAATTTTACCCTTTTCAAATTATCTATTGTTATTTCTGGTTTACATTATTTATAATTAATTTATATCCTGGTTATTAACAAGCTTTAATTATATACTCTGTTTGGTAAATCTTAAAAGACAATAATGATTTGAATACTATCAACAAAAAGCCTGCAAATCTTATTAGATAAGATTTGCAGGTTTTTCCTTTGTAGCACTTATTTAAATTTCAAATTTGTATAGTAGATAATGGGTTTGGATTTCAAGTTTGCAAGAATCGATATTTGAATAATTTAGGTCTCAAATTTATGCAGGTTTGTATATATGCTATTAATTATT